ACAACAACTGTCATATACCATAGCCACTGTCTGTATATCAAGAGGTGACTATTACTGATAGTCACTGTCTGTATAACAGGAAGTGACAACAACTGTCATATACCATAGCCACTGTCTGTATAGAGGTGACTATGACTGAGATATATGATAGTTGTTGATAGATAGCAGTGACACCAACACAAAATACAATCCCCAAGATGCTAATTTCATCCAACTAATTGCAAGTCCCTACATAGGTCAGATATTAATATCCTTCTTAAGGAAACATAGATGAATAATCTGATGTGAGTATGAGCCAGAACGATCATGTATTGTGAAATGGGGATTGAAATAACTCAAAGCAGCAGAAATAACTGAGATGTGATCTGATGGATGATGCCGTATCTGAGTCAAACGGATGTCGCCAAGTATACAAGGAAGATGTATATTGGTACACGATCTTATTATGATATATTTTCACATTAACTGTCGGATTCTAAGTTTACACGCAGCTGTACTTGGATAAAGTAGTACTGCTTGTTTCAACATGATACCATATAAAGTGAAACAGAACACATTGTGTACTCGTTTTGTAACTGACATTTCAGAAATACCAGTATGTTCATATTCTGGGAAATGTATCATCTAGGCCCATTCTTTTTCAGCAACAGAAAATTAGCCTGATCATGTTCAGAAATTTAGGGTTTAGTTTTTGCTGTTTTTAATCTAAATCTTATCAAGATTTTGAACATGTTTCAGACATATCTAAACCATCAAATATATCACATCACATCACCCACTGTCTATTAACGGAAATAACCTTGTGTGATTATGCAGAACTACCATGCCAAGGCTGTGCAGATCCTCACCCTAGATCACCACACAAACACGGCGTCTGTGACACGACGACAGAAACAGCATACACACCTACCTGCAACGTTCCACATGCGACCGACAACGACCTCGGACGTGACAAAACACACCTGCAGACCTCCCCCTCCCCACAGACACCAGGGGTCAGTGTGACTACTTGCATAATAAGAGCCCCATTCCACAAAGCAATGCTAGTGCTAAGGTGATTGTAACTCCTAAACATTAACATAGGGTTACAAGAGACTTAGTGCTATGATCCCTTATGAGACATCTCTGTCCTGATTTTAAGTTTAGCACACACCTATGGCAGTTTTGTACTCTTTATAGATGGCAATCTCTTTATTGATGGCAATCACTTTATTGATGGCAATTTCTTTATTGATGGCAATCACTTTATTGATGGCAATCACTTTATTGATGGCAATCACTTTATTGATGGCAATCTCTTTATTGATGGCAACCTCCTTTATTGATGGCAATCACTTTATTGATGGCAATCACTTTATTGATGGTAATCTCTTTATTGATTCATTGAATGCAATCCAGTCTCTTTATTGATTCAGGAATGCCCAATCCTGAATCTGAACAGATCCAAATATTTCACTTGAATGTGAATGTCCATAGAAAATGTCTGCAGTGTGTTGGACAGAGCATTGTCACATGTTAAGTTTCAGTGGGTGATATACTCAGGGAAACAAATAAGGGAACACCAGTTCACGGCCGAGTTCCTTTATTTATTCTCAGATTTCCTCCCACAGTGCTATTCAAAGCTGGTGATGAAAACAGGATAATATTAAAAGGAACACTTGAATTTTCCTGTGTTCCTTTATTTGTTTCTCTCAGTATATTGATAAACCAGGTCAGGTCATAAGATGTTCCCCCTCTGGGACAATACAGGAGGGGTCATGACCTGAGGTAGTTCATGCTGAGTGGACCAACAATGTTCTGTGTGGTAAGTCCACATCCATGAAGATGGCATTCAACATAAGGACAACCAGAGGTCAAGAACCGAGATTACTGTACATCACAGAACTGTAAATATCATTTACATATCCCTACACAATCTGGAAATTAATGCCCTCTTTAATTTCTGGAGACACGGTAAGTCACTGATAAATCACTGCACATACTTTTACAATGCCAGTTGAGGGAAGGAGGTGACTAGATTGATTCGCCATACCTTCACCACAGATCCTCACGTTTAGACTTACACAGAGAGCAGAATTCAGCTGAAACCAGTTTAACTTATCAGAAAATGTGCACAGGTAATTTACTTGGGTTTTTCAGGACAAACATTCACATGTCTGGTGATCTCTCTTTAATCCTAACATATTTGTCTCCAGACGTAGAACCTGTTCTGATCAAAAGGTCTGACAGTGAGCGATACTGATGGGAATTTGCCCCAGACGGACAATACTTCATGTCAAAGAATACGGGAATTCAGTGAAACTAGGTAACATCAGTTTGACTGAAATCTGAGGGACTCAATCCTGTCTAGACTGTCGTTATAGAATGTCTCAGACCAGCTTATAACCTTTTAAAATGGAAGTCATGGTGACTCACAATATGTATTTTTAGGAGTCATTTTCAATATTTGGGAGTCATGAAAATTGTAATATTTCTTTGTGTTTATCATTCTCAGTATGTAACTGTGTATGTCACACCACCAAATGAAACTACAGCATAGTTCAATTCACACAGCCAGGATTACTGTCTCCTCTGAACTCTCTGGAACAATCTGACGGCTCTGTAAAAGTCAAACTATCATCGAACAATATCATTTTTTGCTTATCGAATCGATTTTATTGAACTGAATTGTAAGGCCACCTACAAAACCTGCATCAAGTTTGACTCGTATGATAGTATTTTGAGAGTCATTAACAAAATTGTTGCGTCAAATATGCAGGAATCACGCGTCATATAAAACCTTGTTATAACTGTGGACCTGTTGAGGTTATCTGGTTCTAACATTAAATGACACACTACATGAGTAGTCATGGCCATCAGTCCACAGAGTCAAAGTCCTATGTTCTTGAACTTCAGAGTTTTGTCTACAGACTGATGTTCTTGCTAAATATAAGATGTATGCAACTTTCAATCATGTTTCAACATCAAAAACACAGAAACTGATAACCTGATAACTGATAACACAGATGATGGCTTATGAAGTGCTTGCCCTTAGAAGCACTCTGGTATGTAAACTGGATAAAATCACAACATGTAACCTGGAATAATCGTTACACAACAAACTGGACTCGGTGGAGACATTAGTATTTTAACAATCATTTAGCCAAATCTTCAATACTTTATTTATCAATTCCAAATGATGAGGGGTCTCCAACTTAGCCACTAGTCCAAATTCAGAGTCAGGTAAATATCCATTCAGTCTAGTAAGCTTAGTTAACAAAATAATCCACTAGACCATAGCATTAAAATATATGAAAAATGGTGTTGAGAGTCACAGTCAGGAAAGGCTATTAGAAAGTTTTCGGCACAGACCGGAAGAGTGACATGTACAATTAATCAACAACTTCATAGCAACATTCCTTCATTTATTCTTCACACACTGCCAATCATGTAGAAATTGTTACATTTTTCAACGTGGAAATGATGCTAAGTATGAATAATGAATGAATTATGTATGTGATTAGATGTGAAGAAAAGATAATTAATTAAATTAAGTGGTGTGTAATGATTCCAAGCTGAAAGAAAGTGGTACATATATTTGTGTCCATCTACACACACCTGGGAGCTGATACCCAGGTCTTTGTTTCCCCAGCAACAAGTATTCACCTAACATCATGGACAACACACACACTGACACAGGAACACACAGCATGGAGAACACACAGTTCTAAAACATCACAGATAAATGACGGGAGTCAAATGTAACGGGAGTCAAATGTGAAAAAAGAACTGAATTAACATTTCAACTTACAGTCATCAGGTCACAGGGGAAAAGCTCACAGCAAACAAAGTTACACAGCAGCTATATTCCAGGTGGATTGTAGATATTATACACGTCCCAGATGAAAGATGGTATCGGATATAAAAGCATGTTAGTGTATGACCGGCTGGTGTCAACCGCCGGCAGATACAATACCCCGTCAAGCACCTGACTGATCATTACCACAGCTAGCGCTGCTGGCCTTTCATTGCCATTAGCTACAGTGAAAACACTAGCGTACAGTGACAGCGATATGACAGGGGTGTGCCAACTGGGGAATGGCAGAGCTAAAGGCATTGGCAGAACTACTCAATCATAATGTTCTGGGTCAGTGAGCTCATGTATCAGAAACAGTGACATTTATTTTCCATACACTCAAAGGACATTATTGACCTGAAAAACAACAGAATGCTATAGGATATTGCAGTCCATGAACATACTAGAGATGAAAGAGTCGTCTCCCTTTCACTCTTGAACTCAACATGGTATATATTCTAAGTGTGGGAAAGGTGTCGTCTACTTCTTTGTTGGTTTGAGGCCATTCAGGTTTTTCATTATACACTATATGTCTTGAATCACCTACACCCTACCGATGTTCCTGGACAGGACGAATTCCCACAGCTAAGAGCAAGGTTAAATTGAGAATAGGGTGGTTCCAAAGTGACCAGGCGTATCTATTGACCAGTCACTGTCATGTAAAATGATCATATATTTCATACTAATAGAAGTATAATCAACACATTCATGTGTTTTCCCTGCTTTTTTATGGTAATTGGATAATGTACTATATAATTTTGCCAAAGGGCCTGTAGTTTCATCAGATTTACTTCATCAAATGCAGTTTGAAAAGCCAGTGAATTCCTTGCTGAGAATCAATTGCACCAATGATAGTTTTACGTTATCTCTGATAATGGTTTAAAGGACAAATGGAAAAATCAGAGGAATCAGAATAAACAAAATGCAAAACTGTGAAAAAAGTGACAGAAACTAACACAATTTCAAAAGAAAACAAACTTGATCCAAATGACATTTCTACTACAGGTAAACTGTGACAGGTATGTAGCACAGAGTGAACACTACACAGGAAGTGATGAAGATACGAGGATATATCCCTATACAGACAGAGTAGAGAGCAGACTCGGTGTTATGCAGTATATCACACAGCAGAGATATACATGATATATTGGCTTTAGTCACTCACCTGATTTTCTAAGTAAGTCTTAAAAAAAATTAAAAACTTCAATTACCATTTAAGTAAATCATTCACTACATTTCACTGTTTTCCTGGAAATTTATCAAAAATCTACATCACAGTAATTAAGTTCCTGGAGGTGTCTTGAAACTACTACCAAGATTTGATTCCAAAAGCTTCGGTCTTCAGATTTTACAGCATAATACCAATATGAGATATAATTTGACCCCTCCAAATCTGACAACAGATGCTGATTCAAAATGATCAAGCACTTGTGCCTTGAGGAGAGTAGTCAGCTATTGTAGCTCATCTCACTGTCTGCTGTCAATGACTCAGTGTAGCTGATGGGTTGGTGAGCACTCATCACTGAAGGTGCTATAGAACAGGCCCAATTTCTGGTGTGTTTCAATGCATATAATTTTATTTCAACATGACATAAATAGTATTCCAAATAATATTAACGTGTCTCAATTCTTTTTATTAAATAAAGTGTAAGGTGGCTCACCTCGAGATCAATATCATCTGGAATTTCCAGATCTTCCATGGTGTCTGCACTCCCTGCCTCAACCTCCATGCTGCTTCCCCGATCTCGGAATGCTCGTTTTTGTGCCAACTCTAAGTTGTCAGTTACCTCCCCTTGTCCAGCCTCCTCATCACTGTTCTCCATATCTATCACAGGTCTCTCAAACACAACATTAGGGTCCACCCCGAAGACTCGGTCAATATTCCTAGGCGCTTCATCCTCATCACCACATTCTTCCTCCGCCTCAATAGTATAGGTCCCTGCCTCACTCACTTTATCGTCTTCCTTTTTCTCAGGAATCAGTTTGTCATTGGTCACCTGCACACAAGGGCTTCCCATGTCTTTTGATTTTCGCTTTTTGAGATGGCTTGCAGAGCTCAGATCACCATTAGAGTCTCCGTTCTGCACTGCCGTTAGATCATAGCTTGCTGACTCTTGGTACAAGTCATGTTCGGTCAGTGGACGGGCACTACTTTCGACTTCTGCAACAGGCTTCTGGTGGCCCTTGCCATTGCCCTCGAACATCTTGTCTATGAGGAAGGATGCAGGGTCCCTGTACTGCGTAGGATCCAACGTTGACACTTCTGACGGTTTTGATTTAGGAGATTTGGTGCTGGATCGCACAGAACTTGGGGATTTCTTACTCCTAGCTGCCCTGGAACCTGCAAATAGTGGAGTGGAGTTAGCAATAGAAAATATATCTACATTCATCTGGCGAGTGAGTTCATTTCTATCATTTGCCGGTCATGTTTCAAGATAGCCACCACAATGTTAATACTTTTCCAGCTTTTTCTACAAGTTATGTCATGCCAAGGAAGGGCAAGTGGGGATGACTACTGGAGTTAGTAGTCAGGAGATCACAACAGAAAATAGAAGGACTTGTTCACATGAACTTCTTCATCAATTACATTCCATAAATGCAACAAAATATGTGAACTCAGTCAAGCATCACAGATCAGTTTAAGATCTTGACCATCTCCCATCCCATCAACAGTAACAGCAATAACCATACTCAGCCAGCCAGCCAGTCTTTATTTTACATTCCATAAATGCAACAGAAATATGTGAAGTAGCAGCTCATTCATCACAGATCAGTTTAAGATCTTGACCATCTCCCATCCTATCAACAGTAACAGAAGACCCCACCCCACCCAAACCCAGCCCATTTCACCACCTACCCCACACCACCCTTGTTGAACAGTCTATGACTGTAGCCACTAGGCCGAGTCTAGTATATCTGACTGTGATATAGATCACCTTAAAGTACATAAACCATCAAGCAGAGATCAAATCTAAACTCAGTTTCCCAAAAGAGAACTCAAGCCAGCTAACCCTCCACTTCACAGTACAGAATGACCCTCACAGAACTCAAGAGGACAGAGGGTACTGCATTCCCTTGGTTCAACACCTGGGTCTTGGTTAAGCTTCAGGTCTAATATCACACCAGGACAGTTTTATGCATGGATTTCTCCCTATTATTACATTTGTGATTAAATGCTGGGAGTTAAGGGCACTGAAATAAACATATGCCTGGGCCTTTAATCTGGGATATACGGTATCTGTGATCAGTTGCTCCCTCCCAGTGAGGCCAACACTCTCCTGTATATTGGAACATGATTTATCCTTGTGGAGATTCAACGCAGTCAATGAAGCACTACCTTTCACAGGGGTGTCACTCTTGCCACTTGAATCCCCATTTTCTGTAAGTCTTGACGGAGATTTTTCTCCCCCAAACTTTTTGTTGCCATGAGAATCTGTCTTCTTTGAAGCTGGATATTTTTTCACAGGTTTTGTGTCTGAGGAGGAGCTTGCTGTGTCGTCCTCCTGCTTCGTCTGTTGACATCTCTGTGCCTGGCATCCTCCAAATAAAACATTTCTCTAAGCTTTCCTCCTGAAATGTCAAATATCATCCTCCAAATAAAACATTAAAACAATCTCGCCACCTTTAATTCACAGAATGAAGTTACATCTGTCTCATTGTTATAGCAGAATCATAGCACACACTAGCTACATATAATATACATCATAGATGGACTATATGAGATATCCTGGATATCAAGGTCTATGTGTCCGTTCTTACAGAAGTCTCCACCTTTATTTCACACACATACAAGCGCTGGCAGTCACATCAGGCATATTCATGTCTGTATTCCTGCTTACAGAAGTCTCCACCTTTATTTCACACACACACACAAGCTGGCAGTCACATCAGGCATATTCATGTCTGTATTCCTGCTTACAGAAGTCTCCACCTTTATTTCACACACATACAAGCGCTGGCAGTCACATCAGGCATATTCATGTCTGTATTCCTGCTTACAGAAATCTCATCCAATGTCACACACAAAAACACTGGCAATCATATCAGCCATAAGGCATACAGACTACTAAACTTAACCAAGTAAAGCCAACTGTCCTCACCTCAGACTTGCTTGGTGTGGCCTCTTTATTTTGTGACCTTTGTTGGACTTTATCTTTTCTTTCTCGAAAACTTTTTCTTATTTTGGAAGGCACACATTCACTGAGAGACTTGGGCATCTTTGCCTTCTTGTCGTCATCCCCGAAGTCTACAGTGAAAGCCATGGCTGCAGTGTCCGTCTGCCTGCCACGGTCTGGCGTCCCCTCCTTGGAGGACGTGCGGTCCCCCGGTGTGTCTGGTGTGTTCATCTTGCTGGTCTCCGAGAACAAGCTGTCCTTGGATAAAGAGGAGGACATGCTTCTAGGCGGGGTCTCCTTCTCCCGGTCAGACTCCAGGGCCCTGTATGGGATCTCCATGTACCTGGTGCCATACTCTGCCTCACCCTGAGACTTCTCCATCCTTGACAAGGCCTCTTTCTGCTCTAGAGACAGACTTCTAGGGCGGTCAACCTGGTTACTGCTCTCTGAAACAGGGGAAACAGATATATTAGTCACCAGAAAATTAAGTTTTCCTTCACAGAAAGTGATTGGTTTGGGTAAGGGCCTCTCATTTCAACAACTTGTAATAAGAACCATGTTATAACAGAAATATGTCACATCATGACACAGTTCCAATAGTTTTGTAACACAACTCAGCTTGATAATCCAAGTATTATACAAGCCAGTTGTGTCTATCATGATCCAGCTCAATAGTTCAAGTATTGTACAAGTCAGTCGTGTCTATCATGATCCAGCCTCGATATCATGAGTCCATGATCTAGCTCAATCCAAGTATTGTACAAGCCAGTCTTGTCTATCAAGTATTGCTCTACAATCAAGTCAGTACAAGTGTGTCTATCATGATCTAGCTCAATAATCCAAGTATTGTACAAGTCAGTCATGTATATCATGATCTAGCTCAATAATCCAAGTATTGTACAAGTCAGTCATGTCTATCATGATCCAGCTCAATAATTCAAGTATTGTACAAGCCAGTCAGTGTCTATCATGATCCAGCTCAATAATCCAAGTATTGTACAAGTCAGTCATGTCTATCATGATCTAGCTCAATAATCCAAGTATTGTACAAGTCAGTCATGTCTATCATGATCCAGCTCAATAATCCAAGTATTGTACAAGTCAGTCATGTCTATCATGATCTAGCTCAATAATCCAAGTATTGTACAAGCCAGTCGTGTCTATCATGATCCAGCTCAATAGTTCAAGTATTGTACAAGCCAGTCGTGTCTATCATGATCCAGCTCAATAATTCAAGTATTGTACAAGCCAGTCATGTCTATCATGATCTAGCTCAATAGTTCAAGTATTGTACAAGTATTGTACAAGCCAGTCGTGTGTCTATCATGATCTAGCTCAATAATATCATGATCAAGCAAGCCAGTCAATGATCTATCATGATCAGCTCAATAATCCAAGTATTGTACAAGCCAGTCATGTCTATCATGATCCAGCTCAATAATCCAAGTATTGTACAAGTCAGTCAGTGTCTATCATGATCCAGCTCAATAATCCAAGTATTGTACAAGTCAGTCGTGTCTATCATGATCCAGCTCAATAATCCAAGTATTGTACAAGCCAGTCGTGTCTATCATGATCCAGCTCAATAATCCAAGTATTGTACAAGCCAGTCATGTCTATCATGATCCAGCTCAATAATCAAGTATTCATGATCTAGCTCAATAATCCAAGTATTGTACAAGCCAGTCATGTCTATCATGATCCAGCTCAATAATCCAAGTATTGTACAAGCCAGTCATGTCTATCATGATCCAGCTCAATAATCCAAGTATTGTACAAGCCAGTCGTGTCTATCATGATCCAGCTCAATAATCCAAGTATTGTACAAGTCCAGTCATGCTCTATCATGATCTCAGCTCAATAATCCAAGTATTGTACAAGCCAGTCATGTCTATCATGATCCAGCTCAATAATCCAAGTATTGTACAAGCCAGTCATGTCTATCATGATCCAGCTCAATAATCCAAGTATTGTACAAGCCAGTCGTGTCTATCATGATCCAGCTCGATAAGTTCAAGTATTGTACAAGCCAGTCGTGTCTATCATGATCCAGCTCGATAATCCAAGTATTGTACAAGCCAGTCATGTCTATCATGATCCAGCTCGATAATCCAAGTATTGTACAAGCCAGTCATGTCTATCATGATCTAGCTCAATAATCCAAGTATTGTACAAGCCAGTCGTGTAAGTCATGATCCAGGTGTATATCATGATCCAGCTCAATAGTCCAATCTAATCAGGAGAAGTTGACAGGTCATACAGACACAACTGTATTGCAAATGCAGTTCTATGAAGCTACATCTTACCCTTCCACATAATTCAGAAATTTCAACACTTTCTGACTCCCAAAAATGCCTCCACAACTCAGAAATATGTCTAGATTGTCTACAGTGACTCCACTGTGTTTCTAACCAACCTGTACAGTGTCCAGCGCGGTCTGTTATATGACGTCCAACAAGTATTTGTCCTGCTCACAAAACATTGGTGATTTGGTGGCAAAGAGATGATCATTAACCTTCCTTGTTGCATAATGAATATCATCTGTTTGTGCATATACCGTACCTCAGCCTGAATATTGACACAAGTTGGCTTGTATCCACTCAACCACAAAGCCATATGTCGACAACATGTTGACATGCATGAACAATGTACATTCAGGATCCCTCTACATCTGCATTACAGTGACCACTATTTTCAGTTTGTTATAACCAAAATTAATCATACACATTACAACTAAACCATACACCAAGTGTGTTGTATCCATCGGTTTGTTGTAGGCATGTTACAACTACAAACATACTTTACTGTAGTATCAACATCACAATTGGTGCTTGGCATAGATGCTTTTCTTTAACATATGTCCTAGCACACAGCATTATACAATGATCTGAATGTGACATTTTTTAAGTCTAAATGGAAAAGCATCCTTTTTATTTGTGAGATAATCTTACGATGTCTGCAAATTAACGTATCTGGTGAGATGGTACTTTCTGAACCTTGCATGTATTTAGGTTTTTTAATGAGGTGTGTCAACCTACCATTTATTTTATGGACCAATCATAGGATGCCTCCCCCAAACCCCCCCCATTCTCATGCTATATCAACAAAGCACAATACACTTCTGTAGAACCCACAAACAGTCATATGATGGAAACCAAAGGCTGAATCCGAGATACAGCACATGAAGCCACAGCTAAGGGACACGATTCCGCACAGCCAACTGCACTGCCTCAGACCATACATTTGAATAAATATTTATCATGTGTCGCATAAGAAAATATTGATTAACAACACATACCACTGTACAACATATACACAGACATATTCAGGTGTCTGCTCATATATATGCCTCCCCACCACTGTCTCCAGCCACATGGAGATCCTGTATTAACAGATGACCAGTAACACTTCCTGCCACTGCCCATCATCATGTTTCATCTCAAGTAATGACTGAGGTCGCAATGACACAAAACATATCGCAGAATCAATGTGCCTCATTCCAGTACAAGACCTCGAGCACAACCCCTGACTTCTAACCAAACCTGCAGACACTGCCAAATGCCAAGCATGTCTGCAACCTATTCAAATATATTCCTTATGGATACTGGAACTCATCCAACAGAGAAATTAACAATTCTGTAAGCAGAAAACTTACAAGGGTCTTGTCACTGTTGATCTGCTAATTAAGTACAGATTTACCCTCAATGTTAGAGTGAACTCTGGCTTCCACTGCTGTCTCCAACTACCATTCAGAGATATACAGTCAATCTGACTTGCAATTCCTCCTTCATCAGCGCTCTGTCTACATGAGCAGACATCACAGCGGAGCATGCATTACCGAACAACTGGCAGCAATTCAAAGACGCTGACATCACAATGTGAGTACTGGTATGTGAGAACCTCCAGGATATGTCATCAGGAACATATAACTAACACCACTCTTACACCACACACTGGTCATCTAGCTGACCATCACTGAAGTCCCATAGTTATTTGACCTTATCATGACAGAGTTCAGAATAAACCATCATGATTTTCACGATGTTGCTTCAATACCCAGTATACAATCAAAAACACAGATTCACTTTTAGCACTAATCTAATACTTCCCCACTTCCAACATTTATTAATGAACACAAAATATTTATGAAAGTTGACATAATATGTGAAAATCTTCCTGTCTATGTTTCAAGTGCAGGTTTTAACAAAATTGATACTTAAGCAAGGAGAAATGTCAATAACCACCATAGACATGTTGCTCTGAAACCCGATCAGTAGACAGTGTATGGTTGATATCATACCTGTTGCCTGATGTAATCCATGTGGTGTCTGCCTGCTGTAACAACTAGCTCTGCGATAATGAACAAATATTTCAGTCCGGCAGCCGTCATCCACATGTATCCATCCCCTGCCCAACCCCCGCGATCCAAGGGTAGGTAACCCATAGCCCTGTGTGTTCTGTTCAGACCTGCATAATCCCCAATAATCCCCTAATCTACAGCAGGCGGGGAGGCCTTAATTACTGCTGAATGTAGATTATGAAAAGTATTTTGTCACATGGTGGATAATGAAACACATTATCTAATCCAACAGCTTGATCACTGCACTGTGGTATTAGCAGTAGGTAAAACAACACTGTCGTGACCCCATGGAGTCTGTGTCAGGAACTACAAAAACATTATCATATAGTATACTCACCACAAAACATGCCTTGGGCTCAGAAAAGATAAAGATAACTTCAGTTATGAATGTATGAATGCAACTTACATGTACACATGTGATTAATGTACATCTATTCTGTGAATGTTAACGCCTGATATCTGTGAATGGGGTCGGTTAGTTTTGTATATGGTAACAGTTCTGACTTTCTATTCAAAGTTCCATCACAGGAGACATAAATGTCAGCACACATGCCTTTCAGAGCACTGTTATCTGCTCATACAGAGACCCCCTCCAATTCACACAGCTACAAAAAGTAGGGAAGCCTCCCCTTATAGTGTGTAGAGTCAAATAAATCTGTCATCAAATAAAATCAGATATGGATAATCCAGAGTCATCTACAATAGAGGAACAGTACTGCTATTATACCCATGCCATTTTATAAGTGCTGCTTGCTAGAATATCTAGGTGTTGTTTACCATAGCCATGTTACCCTACTGGACTCCTGCTTTGTTAAAACGATTCGTATTATACCACAACAATGTTATAACTATTCCTGTACAGCCATGTTATGGCTATTTTATATATTCCTGCACCATTATATTACTAATATATTCAACCGCCTCCGTGGTGTAGTGGTTAGAGCGTCCGCCCGGAGAGCGGAAGGTTGCGTTTTCGATCCCCGACCGCATCATACCAAAAGACGTTAAAATATGGTACTTGTTGGTCCCTGCCTGGCGCTCGGCATTAATGGTTACAACAAGGACTGGTCGGCTCGGAGTCAGTAT